AGATTCAAGAACAGTCCATGGGGTGACTGGGAAATGAGTGCATTCAAAGGCTTTCATTTCATCCTCAGTTGTCTCATGTGTTTTGTGCTCTTAACAGGATTTAGCCGAAGATGACATGAAAATTCTGGAACACTTCATGAACAAAGATGCGCAGCCGCAAAGAAAACTAGCAGACATGTTCCGTGATAAAATCACAGAAAAGCAGACAGACATCCAGTCACAAGTGAATGCTAGCAGTAAGTTACTTTTTTTCCAGCTCTCTCTCTTTCTTCCTTATTGTTTGTTTTTCTTTCTTTTCATTTTTGAGGTTTGTAATGAAAGAAAGTAGATGATATTAATTTTAATATTTTCCTATGAAACAAAATGTTAAGAATTTTAGCAATGATTACTCAAAATAATTAATGCTGATTGTAACACATACTCTGATGGTTTTGATTTGATTTTGTAGTTTATAACATTTGTTAATGCTCTAATGTATTTAAGCCTGTGATTCTTGGATATTTTTGTTGTTGCTTATTAATAGTTTTTAAACATGGATAGCTAAATAAGTATTTATTTAACCCCTTAACGCTGGGTGACGCCGATCGGCGTGAAAATAAACCGCTCGAAAGCTGGCATGGGGCTGTACGCCGAGGTGGCACGCTGGGCTGATGTCCTGCCTTTGTTTGCTAGAGCGTAGAGTTTTTTTTTTGTTTTGTACACCCGGTGCCATTGGGTTAACCCATTGCCGCCAGGGATGGCATGTATGTACATGTCATGCCCACTGTGAGTCGACCTGTTTGATTGTTTTTACACATAGATGGCTACACTTGTACTAAGTCACCAATGAGCCAGTTACGAGTACTGCCTGTCTCGCCCGTTCACCCTTTTCATCGATTTATGAAAATATTTAACGTTATCTTAATTTGCTGTTAAAAATAACACCATCTATATTTATAACACTAGTAAGAATACGTTTTTTCAAGGAAAGGTGAAATCAGGACTAGCAGAGCCATCTATGTACAGAGATATTCCACAAAAATATAAAAAATGAGTACAGCATTTTCCCCATTTTTTATTCATTTTCCCTGGCGGCAATGGGTCAATAATCCTACTTACCTTTTCCCTTTATTTTTTGGAAAGATTCCTCTTGATTTTATATTACTGTTACTATTGTTAACCCACTGCCACTGTGAATTAGTTTCTTAACCCATTTGTAGCGGGTAAAAATGAACAAAAAATGGGGAAAATGTTGTGCTCATTTTTTGTTTTTTTGTGAAATGTCTCTACACTAGATGGCTCTGCCTTACCTGATTTCACCTTTACTTGAATTGGCGGGAAAATGTAATTTTACTAGTGCTATGAATATCGATGGTTATTTTTATTATAATTATAATTACTATAATGTTATAAACATTAGTAGCAGCAAAATAAGATAACACAAAATAACTTCATAAATTAAAGAAAAGGGTAAACAGGCGAGACAGGCAGTATAAGTGCAAGTGTAGCCATCTATGTGTGAAAACAATTAAACAAGTAAACTCACAGTGGGCCTGTCATGTATATGTGACGCCCAGTGCGAATGGGTTAATTGTTTACACATAGATGGACCCACAAGTGCATTGTTTCCAATGTATTGCTTATTTTTCAGTCCTTTTTACACATAGATGGCTCCACATGTCCTTTTACTAGCCCTGCCTATCTCCCTAATTTACCCTTTTTTTTGGGGGGGGGGGGAAGAAATAGAAAAAAAAAAGGAAAAGAAAAGAAGCAAGAAGAAAATTGGTATTAGTATTGTTTATAACAAAAATAATCAGTGTCAGTAATAGATATTGACTTCTGGATTTAATTGTCTTATGATGTGTGTGGACTAAAGTCCAAGCATGAGACTTCCATTGGTGGTGACTTTTGAGTGTGTGGCTTGTAGGGCCAGACCGACTCGCACTCACACCCATTATCAAGATTCCTTGCCTCCCCTTTGCAATGCTTTTAGCCAGTTTCTGCAGTTGCATTTACTATTTTCCAAGGTCTGTATTTGTTTTGGTAGAAAGAGAAGAAGACACAAATAACACAATGTCACTTGTTATGATTGCACTGAGTTATAGATACCTACCTTGAGAGATGATATGGAATCTATTACCATCTGGATGAAGCAAATCAAATTATGAATTTAGACATCGGAAAATGGCAAAAAAGACTAAATAACATTGCAAAGGGGAGATATGGAGTTACCACAAGTGTTCATTTGCACTGGCCTACAAGCTGCACATCTGGCAGTGTCTGCCCACACATAATGCCCATATTTTAGGCTATGTGATGGCATTAAAACATCCAGATCCAATGGACTAAGATGATTATGGACTTTCATTGAGCAAACCCCACATTATCTCTCTTGGGAGTTTACACTATGGATTAATAGTAACTATAAGATAAATTGTGTTATATTTTGTTTTCCTGTTATTCCATCTTCTGTGCTTCTAGTAATGCTGGCAAAAAAAGTAGCCTCCCTAGAGATGGTCCTTTCACAGGCATGGTTGATGGCTGGTAAACTTCACTCTCACGGACCAGTGGAAATCCTGCAGGAGCTTGCAGAGGTCCACTTACTTAATCTCACTCAAGTATTTTGCAGTCATGACAAGACCCCATCACACTACACTTGACAAAAATTTCATATGACAAGGTGTTCCCAACACATGCCCCTCAGCCAATTTTATTCTTGACAACACATCTGTCACCTGGTTCCAATGAGTTATAGTGTTAGGAAAAAAGTGTTCTGCTAACTCAATAAAATGGGATATTTGGTGTATGTATGTTTACTTATAGACTCCTTGGTGGCTGAGCATTTGTGAAGCTACAGTGGATATTACATCTTCCCAGTAGCAATGGGTTAAAGTTATGATAATTATATTGACAGTATTATTTAAAAGAAAAAAAGAAAAAAAAGAAAGAAAGGGGAAATCAGGTGAGTTGAGGTAGGCAAAGAATTGGCTCCTTGTTGGCTGAGGACTTGGAAATCCTGTGTGCAAACAAAATTCACAAAAGAATATTACAGTTGACAGTACGTGCACCCAGCATATTTGAGGAACTTCTATTTTAGATTGTTCATAAATTACAGCTCTTTGTACCTTTCATGGTAAGTATATAATTTTCGATTCCCCTTTCAGCTGTACAGACTGTTAACCTTAGTCCAGAGGTGCAAGAAATGTGCTCACAGATTGGGAGTGTCTTGTCAAAATACAGAAGTGGACCCTTGCCAAAGATGTTCAAGGTGATTCCAAAGATGCGCAATTGGGAAGAACTCGTATACCTGACAGGTAAATACAGTGGATATCTTATTTTATTGTTTGTATAATTATGTTGTGTATTATTTATCCTGATCTTGTTTTTCACATTACATATATAAACTTGACTTTTAAACATAAATAATTACTTTGATAGATGGTAGCAAAAGAAGTATGTCACTGTATGGTTTGTGCTCACCAGAGAATCTCTCTTTATCTGTATCACTTGTAGACCCTGACAAGTGGTCTGCTGCTGCTGTGTATCAGGGTGTTAGAATATTTGTGAGTAACCTCAAGGAGCCCATGGCACAGCGCTTCTTCAACTTGGTCCTCCTCCCTCGTATACGGGATGACATCTCATACTACAAGCGCCTCAACTTCCATTTATATCAGGCTATGTGCAAGGCCCTTTTCAAGCCAGGTGCCTTCTTCAAAGGTGTTTTACTTCCTCTGTGCATGGTAGGTGGCTTTTATGATTAAAAAAAAAAAATGAATGGTGTGCCTTCTTGTTCATGTTTGAATGATTTACTTTTTTGTGGCTTTATGAATATTGACTCTTTATATTTTAATGCTGTTTTATATACAATCTATTGTTCTTTTTTACAGTCCGGTACTTGTACTCTTCGAGAAGCTATTATTGTTGGTTCAGTAATTGCAAAGAACCACATACCAATTCTGCACTCTGCTGCAACAATACTGAAGATTGCTGAAATGGACTATTCTGGAGCAAATTCAATATTTTTGAGAATATTTTTTGATAAGAAATATGCCCTCCCATACAGAGTTGTTGATGCGTGTGTTTACCATTTTATGAGGTAAGTTAATATTGATATATAAAATCTTCTTGAGTGCAAGAGTATCTTTTGCAGAGACTTGAGAAATAAAATAAATTCTTAGTTATTGCTTTGCACTGTACTTAGAATGAAGATTAGAATTAAAATTTAGAATCCTTCATCTGGATGACTTAAGGTGTCTCTGCTAGAATTGGAAACATAAGATTAGAATTAAATTTTAGAATCCTTCTTCTGGATGACTTAAGGTGTCTGCTAGAATTGGAAACATAAAATGGGCAAAAACATTTTAAGCATATTGTAAACATTTTTGAAAGATGATCTAATGATTGTGCTATGCATGACAGTTAAAATATGATTTTGTTAGATTCCAGCATGACCGCCGTGAACTGCCAGTTTTGTGGCACCAAGCCTTGCTTGTGTTTGTCCAAAGATACAAGGAAGATATGAGTCCTGACCAGAAGCAAGCCATCATGGATGTCATTAAATTCCACACTCATTTCACCATCACTGCTGAGGTTAGTTGCCAGTGGTCATTATTGCCAGTTATAGTTGAAAAAAAAAGAAGAAAAAATCTAAGATCTATTTCACTGAATTGTGTGTTTAGTGTTTTTGTATATTTGGGGAATACAGTATATGAGTATTCAGCACAGAGGCATCTATACACACACTGTTGATATACATTTGATATATTGATAAATATTTTGCTGTTTTTTATGATGTATAGTATAGTGAGATCCTACTGACTCAGAGTGGATAAGGGAACTGAAAGATTCCTCTAAAGTTGAAAATATATTTTTTTCAATAGTCTTTTGCAACTCAAATTTTACACTTCCTGAGATTATGTTGATCACTCTGTATAGTGAAACGTCATTACGCTTTATCTTTTAATGGTTCCATGATTTCTTGCCTTCTAGGTGAGGAGAGAACTTCTGAATTCCAAGTGCAGAGGTCAAGATGATGATATGCAAATGATGGTTGATGAGTAGTGTATGAGAATGGGCAAAAAATGAAATAAATATTTAAAACTAAGAAGGGGTTTCTACATTTTCTGTCTCTTACCCAACTTGCAACTGTGTACTTTGGACTCTGTATTCTATGTCACTTTTTTTCTCATATATCAGACTATAACAGTTTACATACATATATGTGAACTGTATTCATGTTGAAAAATATAGAAAATTTATGAATGAGAATGGATATCTTCACAACACAAAATATATACTTAACCAGTTTTGATTATATCTAAGTTTGAAACACATACACCATATATATATATCGACATGAGCTGACAAAACACCTGACGACTGAGATCTCCCATTCGTTACCTGCATAATTGCTGTTGCAACTAGGATAATTTGAAGCTGCCTGATGCAGTGTTTACATTTTTCTCTCTTGCAATGTATGCAGTTTCCTTAATTTTTCTTTTTTTTGGTTCAGTTGTCCACGGATTACTGCTTCCTTCCAGTTCAGTGGTTGTCCAGCTTCATCTACATGCACTACCATAGCATTGGAAGTCCTGTGGTGACAGATGTAAGCTTGATTTTTTGGTGTTGAATCCATGAACTGTTTTCCCAAAGTATGCTTTATCGCATCTTCAGCAGGGTGTGTGATATACAGCACTGTCGGGGTTGCTTTCGGGCTGCTCGTGATTTTCACTGTACTGCCAAAGTATCTGCTGATCACCTAGGAATTGTTATATGGTGGTATAATGAGAAAATTAGAATAGGGTGCAGGGTCTCATCTTGTGAGTTTGTTGTCTGCTCTCTTTCTGAAGCTTACCAGGAAGGCTCTGGGATATTTGTTTCATGAAAGAATCAATTATATAGACCTCACCCTCAAGAAATTCAGGGTTGCAGATCCTCAGTGCTCTGAGGAAAAAGCCATTTACAACCCCAGATTTTGTTTTATTACTGTGGGGCAGATTAATAGTGGATATAATCATCTTTGTTAGTAGGGACAGAAAAATAATCCTGGTGGATCAGTGTGTTTAAGAAAGGTAATTTCTGATCCTCTTTTTCCTTTGAGGTGAACTAAATTTTCTTGTGGACAGAGTTAAGCTGCATCAGTACATGGTGTAAGCATGACCTGGGGACAATGATAAGGACATCATCTATGTAATGAAGTCAAGTACGTCTGCTGATTGTATCCCTGTCCAGCAACCCCATGAAGAGGCAGGCCATGACTACACTCAAAAAATGTCAAAACCAATAATCTGCTGATATTCTTCCCATGCAAACTCAAAGTAGCCAAAGTCCACACATAACTTTACTAGGCTCATGAAGTGGCATTTTGGCAGCAGAAGTTCATCATCTATCATGGAGCTGGTGATCCTCTTGACTGCTCAAATTGCTTGCCTGCCTGTGGGCCAGTGGTTAGGTCACTACACTTTTATGTTAAGTAAAGAACTTTTTTGATGTGGCATCCAGTTCGATGTTTCACTCTTAACTCTTTGATCCTCTGAACATACAAAATTCAATTAACATGCAAAACTACTTGTACACATTGACAGCTTCATAAGCACTAAGGTATCAAGAGTCAATTGCCTGGCCTATCTGAACTACTCTTTAATCACTACATTTACGTATTTCCCATCCCTTGAATCTTCAGAATTTATTTCTATAATTATTATCATTTTTTCTGCTATTGCTATTATTATATTAATATTAATGACAATAGAACATTAAATAAAAATGCTTTCCAAAAATTCAAGGAATATAGCAGATAGGAGTGGTCAGGTAGGCCTTGTAATTACCTTCTTGGTGACTAAATAACATGTCAAATATTAGCTGTACCTGGAACCTGATAAATGGCAAGTTGAAGAGACTAAAATGTTGGCCAAAAAGCTAAATACTTTCTATGGCATCTGTAAATAACTATTTCTTTCATAGTTCTTGAACTGGCCATTATGCTGTATACCTTCTTTGTTGATTTTTGAGCTGAATAGCTAGATTTTTCTTCTGGTGTTACTTGGTAACTGCATATCTTATATGCCTTTGAACTTTGCCCTCCCTTGTACAAGATGTAAGCACCTGAATCACTCATTTAGGATTTCATGGAAATCCATGTATGCTGTAGCACCACACTTAGCACCTTTGCAAAATTAAAATTTCAGGCTAAACCACATTATATTTTAACTATTGCATCCCTCAGGTTATTGAAGTTACCAATTAGCAATTTCTCACATGGTGCTCCCAAATGCCATTTTTCACTTGGGAGTTGGGCTAGTAAAAATGAAAAGAATTTGAGGAATATTACTCCTCCAATCCCGTGCTTCTTCTTGTTATGGGGATGCTTAGGAGATGGGGAACTGAGGCCCAATGTAGGGGATAATCCCTATCTTGGTCCTCAGCCATCGCCTCAACTAATTTTGCATGGTCTTTTCTTCATCCCTTTGTTCTGTTCACTTATCCTAATTGTTCTTGCCACAATATTTTATGATAATGCTCCCTACCCTCTTAACTCCTTCCCTGTCCAATAACCTTTTCCTTATACAATACCCCATGATTACTTATTGAAAATTTTCTGCTGCATCAACATCTGTCATTAGCATCATGTTCAAAATATACTGATAGCATGAGGCTTGGGGACTATATGATGACATTAAAGGTCATATGGTGCTATGGTAAAGTAGAGTAATGAAAAGGGTTAGGAATGAGTTGATTAGGGTAAAGTTATAGGTTAAACAGCAGAAGACGGTAGTATAGCAGTGAAAAGGGTAGCTGATGGGATACAGTATAAGGCATTATGATAAATTAATGTGGAGAAAATGGCAAAAATGAGTTTAATGATAGGATAAGTGGACAGAAAAAGGGGATGAAGAAAAGAAAAAGGAAAGAAGAAAGACAATGCAAAATTAGTTGAGGTAAGAGCTGAGGACCAAAGCAGGGGTGATCCCCCCCCCCTCATTGGGCCTCAGTCCCTGTCTCTTAAGCCCACCATGACAATGAGGAGCAAGAGATTGGGGGTATACCCCATCATACCACCTCTCTACCCTTTTCACTACTATACTACCCTCTAGTACTGTTCAACCTGTAACTTTGCCCTTATCAGCTCATTCCTAATGCATTTTACTACTTTACTCTACCATAGCACCATATGACCTTTGGTGTCTTATACCACTTCCTTACCTGGGGCAAAGCCCCCAAGCTTCACACTATCACTATTGTGAATACACTACTAATGACCTTAGATATTGATGTGGCAGAAAATTTTCAATAAAAAAAAGGAATATCAAGCAGTATGCAGTAATGAATGATGCAAATATATAGAATGGCTAATGCTAGATATCAAGATATATACAGAATATTACCCCACTGATATCTGGGTTGGCATGTACGTATATGCCACTTTCACTGTGATTTATGTTTATTTACTGTGTATACAAATAGATGGCTGAACAAGTGCTTAGTTGCCAATAGGTCAATTACTAGTCCAACTGTGTCCTCTGTTTACCTTTTTCCTTGATTTTTGGAAATGTTTTACTTTTTTATTGCTAAAATAATACTAACACTAATACAAATCCTCATAATAATAATAGCAGCATCAATAATAATAGTAGGGAAAAAAAAACAACAACAAAAAAAAAGGAAAGGGCAAATCAGGCAAGGATATGGAGGCCTACTTATTGACTCCTTGGTGGCTGGGCACTTGTGGAGTCCTCTCTATGTAGAGACAGTTGATACAACTAATCTACAGTGGGTATTACATGTTCCTAGTGGTATTGTGTTAAGGTATGCTAAAAGTCAAATTACTAACTCCTTGACCACTTGATCTGTGGAGTGTGGCTGTATGTCACGGCATTGTGCCAAAGCCTACGAGGCGGGGGTTTGGCTTGATGTACCGAACTCACACGCTCAAAGTTGGCTTGTTGCTATTAATCTCCAGAGCTTAGAGTTTTTAAAATTTTTTCTT